AAGTATGCACTTTCGCAGGCTGTCGCATGCGTACGCAATTTCTGGGCTGTCAACTCGGTCATATCTGGTCTCTTGGTATGAGAGAATGTATGAATGAGCATGCAAGAGAATGTACATGTGTGCGTTGTACTGAATAGGGTACATTTTTTGAATGAGTATAGTCAAATATACGGTTAAAAAAGAGTCCGCAGGATTGCCATGGCTTATAGGTTATAACCGTTAAACCGACCGTTAGCTTAGCAGTTAACTGTAGGGGTAAAACCGTGACCGTTTGAGCCCTAATTATTAATAAATTGTTGTTGGTGCAGCGTCAGCATTCATCCCACATGGCTTGTGTTGAGGTGTTGCACTTGTGACATCATCAGAGGTACATTTTAGCAGGCTACACCCTCTGAATACAGGCTCCATCTAGTAGATTCTGGTAATTGATGGACCCTATCCAATTTTTGTGTGGATTGTCCCACCTTCATTAAATCCGTTCCCATCCTCCACTTTCCAGAAAACCAAAATTCAATACAGGTCATGTACATATTTGTGTTGGTACGTACCTCAAACTCAAAACCTTGCCACCAGCGCGACATCTGGTAGGCGTATGCGCCACAGTATTATTCCGCTTCATCACTGGCGAAGTGCTCGGGCTATTTGGAGATGATGTATGAGTTGACTGAAGGAACATAATAACCTCGCAACTCACGGAGGACCTTCAATGGCTACATCAATCCTTATTTGTCAACTAAACTGAGTCACTGCGTGAAGCTACGTCACCTAGACTGAAACTGCCAAGATGATAGATGACACTTCCAAGCTTTTGATACAGCCATACCACAGGAGGGTAGCGGACAAATACAACGAAAAGCGTCTTGCCTCTTCCACGCCACGGCTGGTTATTTCCAGCCGAGGGAATACGGATCCTGGGCCAACACTCCTCGGGAACAGACACCACACTACACTGCTCGAGTGTGAACTCCAAAAATCTGTGGTTCACCACATCGTCACACAGACAGTCAGTCAATGCAGCGCGGATCTTCTTCATCCACTCAGATTGTCATCACGTGCACAAAAACACGTGGAGACACAACCACCACGCCAAAATCGGCAAAAAGCAAAACTACCGTACTGATCTACCAGCCATATATCGCGAGTACAACCGGGCCGTGGCCCGTGGGATGGATATGGCGCGGTGCAGGTGATGGTGCAAAAGTAAGTCCCCGGCCCCCGTTGATCTTGAACCACCTTTTGAAGTTTTGTATTGCAAGGGAAGAAGATGAAGATGCTTGTCCCTCCTGGACACTCTTTCTCTCAACCACTGCTCTTGTTGAGTAATTATTATTTCCTTTCATCGTGAGGCCACCTAGAATTTTTGTTTCGGGTCACTTCACTCATCCGTATCAGGGTCGGTCGGTCGGGTTTATTTTTTATTTAATTTAATTTTTTTATTTTGGTTTACGTCCATGTACATCAAATAGTCCACCTAGCCAGTCGATCAAATCTGACTGTACAGTGTAGATAATCCAGCGCAGTCATTGTCCCATCAGATCCAGGTCCCCTCCAGGACCAGATCTTGGCCTCGCTGGCAAACGAGTCTGACGAGCAGCTCTCATCTTGAAAACTTCTGTAAATAGCAACAAAGTGGCGGAGCTGATGCTGTTTCAGCACCGATTGCGGATCGGAGATAGAAGACAACGTCGTCACCAAGCGCTGCATCCTGTCATTTGGCTAGCCGTGGCTGCTTCTCACTCTGAGGTCAGTATCTGGACTTCTATTATTAGGGTCACATAGTACAGTGTAGTCTGTACATTTGCATGCACTATAAAAAAAAAAACAATGTTGCGGTCGGGTGAAAAAAGACGGTCGGTCGATCGGGTGACCCGAAACAACGAATTAATTCTGGATGGCCTGAGTGTATTTTTATGATTTTTATCAGCAGGTATTGTACTACTCCCTGGTTTAGTAGCAACCATAAACGCACTGAGTACGAGTACCAAAGGATTATGGACTCTTGCTACATGATGTAGTACCCATCTCAACTTTTGCTAGTGTGCAACAATGTCGCATACTACTGTACATTGGTTTTTGTAGTAATACAACGACTGTACTATGTGCCTGGTTGAAGCAAGAATCCATGCAGGGAGATAACACTACTGCCTGGTGCCAACCAGCCTGCCACTACTACTACCTAGTACTAGTGCACTGCCAACTTACTGCCACAGTGTCAGCATCAGATCAAGGAGCCGTACCCCCCCCCCCCCAAAAGGTTAGCACGTAGAGCTATGGCGGTAGCTACTGTAGTTACTTGTACATGTTACTGTAGTAGTCGGAATAGAGAGAAGAGCCACAAGGCTCCAGCAAACCAACTTGGACTGGCGTCTAGCGCATGGTTTACGTGTGCGGGATGTACCGTGTAAAAGTACCAGAGGAACTCAGGGGCGGATCTAGGATTTTTCCAAGGGGGGTTCAATTTTTTCCCACCCTACCCACAATGACGAAATGATGACATACACATGTATAACAAGTTCACACGTTCGCGGTATCCATGGTATCGGTACAGCACCAATCAGTAATAACACAGCCCACATGTCCTGTATATTGCATCCTGTACTTGAACATGCCAGCTGCTATACAAAATTTAATGTAACTTCAGTACCCCTATTTTCAACATTCGGCAGCTAAAACATTATTGAAGATATGTATGATGTGGCACAAGGAAGAAATTTTCAATTTCTTTGCCGCAGAATAGCTGATTGGTACTTTCTCTAGGAGCTCGTCTTTAATAATTGTCCCTAATAATGTACATGTGTACTCCGAGCCGCCCGATGTTGACTCCACTGTAGGTTCCATAAGGCAGGCTTCCTGCATCTTTCGTGTCTCGGTCTTAATTGTCCCCAGTTCGGAGAAATTTTGATTATTGGATGATGGGACGTTGAACTTGAAGATGATTTTCAAAGTTTCGCTCTTTGTTTTACCTTTAACACTAGTGGCTACACTTTTCTTTGGAGTGTCACCAAAATTCAATGGCAGCTGGTCTTGAGCCTGCCTCTGTTAGATGCTTCAACGAACTCTAAAACTCAAAAAGTACGAGCCGCGACGACAATTACAGCACTGCACGGCCACTATTCAGAAACTACAGTCCATTCAGAAAAAGATGATATCCTAGCTTTTGGCCATAAACGGGAGAGGTGGTATTGGCTTCGGCAAGGAACTGAGCGCTATTCAAAGATGAGTACCTACCGGTACTCACGATGCATGAAAGAGCGAGCCTAACAAGTGCCAGCCGGAACGGTTGCCTGAATCAATGCTGTGCACCATGTACCACATGCATCAGAGAAGCAATGGCACACGGCATGACATGTATTGTAGGTGAGGAGAAGAGCAAAAATCGCCCCCCCCCCCCCCAACCACCCTATAAAATGTTTCCGTATTATCTCCATTATAAGCCCCGTGCTTATATTTTTTCAACCAATCCGGGCCCCGGGCTTCTACTAGAGACTGGGCTTCTCCTAGAGGCTGGGCTTATAATTTTTCAATCACCTGGTACATGTACATAATACAGTACATTGCCTATTATTTTTCATTATGTCAATAGCACAAAATTTCCCAGCAGGTACGGGGACAGCAGTTTTGTGCTTCCTGGCACACTAGGCCTGAACTTTAGATTCCGAGGATCACATACGTTTACCACAGCATGTGTTTATGTGATACTGTGCAACGTCAAACATGCATGGACATCCATACAATTCTTCATCATAAGCCCTGCGCTTATATTGAAGACTGCGCTTGTATATCTTCGATGCCCTCTTGGTGTGCGCTTTTAATAGACTGGGCTTCTACAAGAGACTGCGCTTGTAATAGAAATAATACGGTAATAATTCTTCTAAATAGAGGTTGCGACTTCGGCGATGATTTTGTTTACAGTCCATTCAGAAAAAGATGATATCCTAGCTATTGGCCATAAATGGGTCAAATTTTGAGTTTTTGTCACAATTGTTTTGGCAATCCCCCATGGAATGCTCTTCCAATCGTGTTTTTGAAGTCTATTTCTCCAAAGAGCAAGCCATAACAAGAATAAGATTTCGGCCAGGTTTTGCCCCCAGAGCACTGAATTGGGGAAAAACCATGAAAATCAAACCCGTGCACTCCACTTGCAGAACAGTACATTTGCGGTTCAAACCCCAGTTGAGGTACCGTTTTTGGACCCTTTTTCAAGTTTCGAATCTCGCGGCACTGGCAAAATCACCAAACACGGGAGCTCTCCAGAGCCAGCGCTCATCTTTTTCTGAATGGACTGTAGGAATGGGTTTGCTCCCACACTGGCGCTCGCGCTATTCCGCCGACGACTTGACACTTGACTGACTCACGACTGCCATCCAGAGAACACGAGAAGTCCATCGAACCTTCCACTCGGCAAACCTGCAAGAAAGCACCACTCCCTGCTCAATACACAGTGTTTCGGGGAATTCACCTCTCATCAGTTGCGCTTGAGTAGGCTGAGGAAGATTGTGCTTGAAGAGCACCACTTATAATTATAGTGCCGTCCAGGCACAAACATCACCAGGGATACAAATTTACAGAGACCCTCGGTCTCCGTTTCCAGCGACAAACATGGCAGTCGTGAGTCAGTCAAGTGTCAAGTCGTTGGCAGAATAGCGCGAGCTCCAGTGTGGGAGCAAACCCAATCCTAAAATAATAATAATTATTGTCACCGTTGTGGTGATATTATAGCACCTTTCCCTGCATGGGTCTTGGCACTCAGGCTGCTAGTGCTACTGTGCGCACCCTAGGCCCTGCACTGCTGTACCTCTGGCGCCTTGCGCATAACACATTCACATGTCACCTTTCATGCCGCCTTTGCAGCCAGCTTCCCTTTAAAAGCCATTGCGTTTTACTGATGATTCATTCTCATCTTTCGAAGAGTTGGTCTGCCTTGATCAGGACACAACAACCGTAAACATGCATTGAATGTAACTGACTTAATTGTACAATGCATATCCATCCACTGCATGTGCCATACCTACATCGTATAAATAAAACCTTTGTGAAAAAAATAATATGATAATCATATACCAGTTCTAAAAAGGAGTTTATGTAGTTAAGTCAGACGATAGCCCACAACAGATATCAGCGGAACTATTACAGGAGATAAGGGATTAGACTGAGGGAATATGTAGACTGAGGGAATATGTAGACTGAGGGAACATGTAGCAACACGCAATAATTGGACGTCAGTCTTCGTTATTACCCTGTCTTGTAATCACAAGTCACCGATAGCTGTCACAAGGTATACATGTATGGAAGCATGCGGCACAAATAAGCACATACGGTAAAAACACAGGAGCACAGAAAAACACACACACACACACACACACACACACATATGCAATGCATGCATGCATGTACGCAGAGTAGGTTTGCCAGCATCACAGCTAGGGTTGTGAAAGATCAATAGTATCTCCAGCTATCAGGCGCATGAGAATGGTGTGAGTGCCAATTAGCCTCTCCTCCCTCTCTGCATCGCTTGCAGCTACTCTTCTAGCATGCTCCTCTGGATCAATAAGTTCCTAGCGGGAAACGAACCACGCATGCACACATATCCCAGACATCTGTCACTGAAAATAGCTCAGAGCATATAAGACTTATATGTTATAGTCGATTCAGACTACGGCCAAAATCACGTGTGGACTTGAATTTCGATGGTGATGCAGTCGTGTTTCAAAATTTTAAGCACAATCCCTGACCAAATGCGTCTGAGTCGTAGAAACGTGGTCACAGTTGGCTGTAGTCTGAATAGCCTATACGTGCACTGTTGACTGTCTAGTAGTGTCTACCTATGCCCCGTATGGGTTCCTGGGTGCCCGGAACCCCCCCCCTTTTTCGCTCAAAATGCAGGATTTTGCTTCATTTTTTGAAAATTTCCCGGGGGGGGGGAGGCCCCCGGAACCCCCCCCCCCCCCTGAAGGCCACCGGCACACGCGACTGTATAATGTACTGTTGACTGTCTAGTACTAGTAGTGTCTACCTACAGTGTACTGTCCCCACAGGATACCGCGATTCCGCGGCCGCGCAATTTTCCACGTTACTAGCTTTCATCCGCGTTTTCGAGAAATTTTGCACAAAACCTGCGTTATCCATGGGAATGGACAAGAAAATAGTGCATGATGTTGAAAATGCACAACAAAGTTGTACCCGCCCATGAGTTCGAACGACAAAGTTGTATACTTGCATGAAGCTGTACGCTAAAGTTGTACCAATGACAGATAACTCGTGCATAATGACCGCATTTTACCGCAAATTTGCTGCATAATGGCCTGTTTTCGCCCGCATAATTATGCGCATAATTTTATGATTTTGTCGCGTTATTCTGTGGGGACAGAGTGTACATACCCCTGTCCATCACAGCAACACTGCAGAACATACATGCCAAAAACTCACGCAGGTATGCATTCACATACAAATTCGGATACTCACAACCCCCCCCCCCCCCCCCCCACACACACACACATGCTTGCCGCACACACACGCACGCACACACACACACACACACACACGCAATGTATACGCCTGTCGCAAGAGAACCACACAAATCTGCAAATGCACTGGGTGTGCACCCACAGATTTTCTTTTATAGCAAACGATAGCGGATCTGAACCTGAATGAAACAGATCAAGACTAACGTTAGCGCCAGATAACTGTCTAACCCACACAACTGGCGAAGCCATGTGAATTACTTTTCCAACCAGCCTCGGCGACTGAGTACTGGGAACCCAGGGCCAAACAGACATACCGACTGCCTCAGCCATGAAAGCTATATAGCTGAAACCAGTCCAACTTCCAAATACTTCGGCAAGAAGGTAGTCTTCCTACAGGTTACACACACACACACACATACACACATGCGCGCGCACACACCTTTGGACCTTTGGAAAGCCCATCGCCGAAGGCGATGATAGCTATTAGGCGAGGCAGTAGTTCTTGTGTCGGGATAAATCATTCGGACGGCGAAAGTCGGGGCCGCAGACACAGACGAACACTCTTGGTTGGGGCTGGCTTGGTGGCTTCCGACGGCTACGTTCGCGCCAGTCCCTCCGGTCCTGAGCAAGGTGGTACCATTGCGCCTCCGGGATACCGGTCGCACGCAGGTCTGAAGCTGCCACATCTCTCCAACGACGCTTGGGTCCATGGCGGGGCCGCGTGTTAGTGCCCTCCGCAAACAGGATCTGCTTTGGCAACCTGGTGTCGTCCATCCTTGCGAGGTGACCAAGCCATCGCAGGCGATTCGCACGAATGGCCTCCTCCAGCGAGGCTGGCATGCCGCTGCGCTTCGCCAAGTCTTCACTTGACAGGTGTTCCTGCCACTGCTGGTCTCGGGTAACACTCAGGATCGTGCGAACACACTGTCGATGGAACGTGTCCAACCTGCGCAGGAGGGGTGCCTTCAGCGTCCATGTCTCAGAACCATACAGCAGCACTGTAAGGATCACGGCCTGGTAGACCTGACGTCGGATTCCAAGCGATAGACCCGAGTTCCGGAAAATTGGTTGGAGGAGGCTACCAAACGCCCTCGATGCCTTGGCGAGACGAGTTGTGACTTCGGCATCCAGCTCTCCATCGTCGCTGATCGTACTGCCGAGGTAGGTAAAATCGCTCACACACACACACACACACACACACACGCACACAAAGACGCACAAGACGCACCGTCTGCATGAGCAGAATGCCAGCCTTACCTCACCAGACTGCTGTACTTTCCACAAATGTTTTGGAAGATACCAGGCTCCATAGTTGACTTTTCCTCTCGGCTTGTAGTGTTCGCAAGCTTGGTCAGTCTGAAAAAGGAAACACACAAAACACGGGGCTTGTAATCTCAACAGTACGCACGGTGTACTTTGACCAGCGAGGGAGGGTGTTATTGCCAACACCCCGGCACATGAGTGAAAAAAACCTGTGATCTTTTGCTGATGGTAATTTGCCGAAATGTCGATAATGATGCAGTGAACTGAGTTGTGAACTTGCAGTGCCCAGAAAAAGAGCATGTGTGCTCACTACTTCTCTTTGAGTTATGAAGCTGAGGATGCCTCACCTCTATAATACATAAGTGAGGGTGGCGTTCGAAGAAAAAAACTTAGAAAATACAATGCAGGAGCTAGGGAGACGTTTGATGTGAGAGAAAATTGAACTCTTTCCGGAGCAAAACTCAGCAGGCTCAAAGTTATTAGGGCAGGGGCGGTGTAGATGGTCGCAGCGGGGCTGGCAGCATCACATCAGCAGCACTGGCGAGTGGGGGAGGTGATGGAGCAAGATAGTGGGCACAGCGAATATTGAAAACCTGATTTTTAACAGAGCAGTGCCTCAGAGTGTGCAACACCTGATCCAGCTCTGCATAGGGTCTTGGTCGAGCATAATCGGTTCTTTGCGTCACAATACCGTACAGATCTGAGGGGGGCCCGGGGAGTCATGCGGACTGTCTCATCAAAACAACGGTGCCCTGCCTCGAGACCGGCCTTGCGCTGATGTGGAGCGTACACATGACACCAGAAGATCCGACTACGCTCGACCAAGACCTTACGCAGAGCTGGATCAGACGTTGCACACTCCGGGGGGGGGGTATGTACTCTTGCTTCTATACGTGACACCCTTGCATATAAACCTGTGTAGCGCCCGGAGTCGGATAGAACAGGGTGAACGGTGTAACTAAATGGAACGTACTGAGGAAATAGTGCACAGTGATTGAATAGGGCCTACTGATTCAAGTTATAAAGACACAGTGGTCATGCCGGGTGCAGATTGCTCTTCATTGCTAACATTGTAATTCTGTATGCAGCACAACGACACTGGTATTGAGATTTTTATCCTCTGATAATGTCTTACATTATCAGAAATACCTGCTCCCATTTCGAACTGTCGACAAAGTTCCGATTCCATTAGACTTGGAAAAGCCTCCCTGGGTTTTGCTGGCGAACGAGTGTGTCTCCGGCCATGAGTCAAGTCCGGTGGCAGTGCAGTTTCTTGCAGGACAAACAGACCATCTTCTTGCTGAGCAGCAATATACATCATCGTAGAAATAACAGAGAGAGAAATAAATAAGAAGGGAGACCCTGATCGTGCGCGCGCACATGTGTGTGTGTGTGTGTGTGTGTGTGTGTGTGTGTGTGTGTGTGTGTGTGTGTGTGTGTGTGTGTGTGTGTGTGTGTGTGTGTGACAGAGAGAGAGAGAGAGAGAGAGAGACAGAGAGAGAGAGAGACAGAGACAGAGACAGAGAGAGAGAGGCAGAGACAGAGACAGAGATAGCCAGAGAGAGAGAGAGAGAGAGAGAGAGAGAGAGAGAGAGAGAGAGAGAGAGAGAGAGAGAGAGAGAGAGAGAGAGAGAGAGAGAGAGAGAGAGAGAGAGAGAGAGAGAGAGAGAGAGAGAGAGAGAGAGAGAGAGACAGAGAGACAGAGAGACAGAGAGACAGAGACAGAGACAGAGACAGAGACAGAGAGAGAGACAGAGAGAGAGAGAGAGAGAGAGAGAGAGAGAGAGAGAGAGAGAGAGAGAGAGAGAGAGAGAGAGAGAGAGAGAGAGAGACAGAGAGAGACAGAGAGAGACAGAGAGAGACAGAGAGAGACAGAGAGAGAGAGACAGAGACAGAGATAGACAGAGAGAGAGACACAGAGAGAGACACAGAGAGAGACAGAGAGAGACAGAGAGAGACAGAGACAGAGAGAGACAGAGAGAGACAGAGAGAGAGACAGAGCGAGAGAGAGAGAGAGAGAGAGAGAGAGAGAGAGAGAGAGAGAGAGAGAGAGAGAGAGAGAGAGAGAGCGAGAGAGCGAGAGAGAGAGAGAGAGAGAGAGAGAGAGAGAGAGAGAGAGAGAGAGAGAGAGAGAGAGAGAGAGAGAGAGAGAGAGAGAGAGAGAGAGAGAGAGAGAGAGGGAGGGAGGGAGGGAGGGAGGGAGGGAGGGAGAGAGAGAGAGAGAGAGAGAGAGAGAGAGAGAGAGAGAGAGAGAGAGAGAGAGAGGGAGAGAGAGAGACAGAGAGAGAGAGAGACAGAGAGACAGAGACAGAGAGACAGATGACAAATAGGCAGACACACACACAGGCACACAGAGATAGAGATAATGAAAGATTGAGTGGGAGAACCAGTTAAGTAACGTGGCAATCATACTGAGACAGAGAGAACTATACCGAGACAAAGAGACATACATAGACGGAGAAAAGGCACAGATAAACAGAGACGGAGGCACAAACAGAGACACAGAGAGAGAGCTAGCATTATAAATAGCAGTTTCACTAAAAGCACACTTTCAAGCATGCAATGTAACATTCGGCACCTTACGCCTTTTTCAGCCTTTGCCTCTGCAAATAACTTGCACACATCTTCTGGATCAAGTACAGTTTCCTCTTTTACTGTTTTCTGTAGCAAATATCAACAAGAAGAAGCAAAGCATTAGAAACAGATACTGTATAGTATAGTAAAATAGAAGAAAATACTCATGGGAACGAGTTATGAAGCAACTATCCTCGACTGTAACAAGATAATGAGCAGTCAGAAAGTGCGATAACAGGGCACAAAAACTGACGAGCTACTGAGACATTCAACAACCTGAGACCTAGCTCTAACACATCTCCAGTGTGCAAACCAACAGCCTTCCAACTTGGAAGGTTCACAGTTAGGTAAGACCGAAGAGGGGAAGGTGAGCACAGCGAAAATGTGCACAAGCTAAGTCCCACGGCAACAAAGAATGCAGAGTGTTACAGGACGATGACGAGACCAGTTACAATAACATGACAATGCGGTCTAACTACAATTCGAAGCAGCAAAGTAACACACCCCCAACCTGGGTGGGTCAGCAATATCAGAGATAAAGGAAAGGGAAGCTTTGCGAAAACGAATTGTACAAAACTGACACTGGCAATTCTGACCATCCAGTCGCACGCCCGCTCGGGGATAACAATATGAACTGAGATGTTGCGACTTCGGTGGTGGCTGCTCCTAACGCTGGAGCTTGCACTTCCTGCCGATTGACTGACACATAACTGACTAACGACTGCCGCCCGGAGCACACAAAAAGAGCGTCAGAGCGTCTACACTTTTGCCTGGTGCTCACGAAGTGTTTGTCGCACTGGAAACGGAGTTTCACTGTAAGTGGGTATCCCTAGTAATGTTTAGGCTCGGAGAGCACTACATACATGTAGTGCTCTCGAAGCACAACTTTCATTGGCCTACTCAATTTCAACGGATGACAGGTAAATTCTCCGTATGTGTTGAGCAGGGTGTGGTGATTTCTTGCCGGTTTGGGAGTGGATGATCCGATATTCTTCTCATGTGCTCCAGACAGCATTAAATATCAGGCAGTTGGTAGGAAGCACAACCTGGAACATTAGGAGCAGCTACCTTCTTCTCGCAATACCCAGGGTGACAACCCGATATCATTGTATGCACACAATGTGTATTTCGATCCCAGATTCAGAAATTGTACAAGGTCCGTGGTCTCTGCAGTCTGCAACATGCGAACGCGGCTTTGACCTACTGATCCTAAGCGTGGCTCAGGCAAGTGATGTCATATCATCATCGTTATCATAAGCCCACAGCCCGAAGGCCTTTATTGCGCCAGAGGACAAGAGTACGCAACACAGCGCCAGTGAATTCTATCATGGGCAGCTACTAACAACGAAGACATAACCATGCATGTCCCAGGCAAGGCTTTCTCCAACAAGACAACCTCGGTCGACCGCGGGCGTGGTCCCCGGAAACGCAACCTTGGAAAAATAACACCAGCTAAACCATTAGCACATACAAAGTGGCCAAGAAACTGTATTTCCTTTCCCAATATGCCCCATGAGAGTGTGTATAAATGCATGTACATGTATAAATTGGCTCTGCCCAAAGGCAACTGTAACTGACAGCCTCGGGTCCAAACCCACATAATTTAGTGCTACAGTCGCCAGTGCTGCCTCCCTGTACGTTAGGACTCCCTGATGTATCATGCACATACATGTATTATACCCTGTGGTACATGTACAGCAGCGTTTGCAATACTACAACTTGAGAGTATAGACTAGCAACTCCAGTCAATGGGGTTTGCGACGGCAGAACTTAACATCACATGAAAAAAACGCACACAGTATTAATTTTGTGCCCTGTGCATGACAGATACAGGTTGTAAGCAACCCCGGCGCAACCCTGCTTTGGATTCAGCTCTCTAGCGGTCACTTTGCGCTATTTGCCAGCATAATCCATTGAACCATGTCCCGACATGTGAAGTTCTGCTGTCGTAGCACTGGATAAGAGGTTGTACAGGCAATTGCACACTCTTGGGGTTGCGTACTCTTGATGACACTATAACTGTAGCACCTGTACAACACCATAACAAGTATGCGTGTAGTAGTAGCATTGCTACTCACTGGTCCACAGAGGTGCCTGGTACTGTGGTAGAGCCGGGGACGTGACCAAATTAGGGAGATTTTTGTGTTGTGGTTGACCCGATCCTGAATCACCCCCCCCCCCTCCCTCATGTTCGCAAGATGGGGGATACGCACAAACATTACATGATTTTGATAAGAACTTGTTGGAGTTGTCTCACTCAAAACTTTGGAAACATGCACAACTCCGGATCCATTCCAAAATCCACCGTAAAATGTTTCCATGGAAGAGTGTGACAATCATGTTGCAAGATGGTGTACATGCTACCTAAATAGAGGAGCAATTATGTACACCTACTTCTGATTTTAAGACTTTATGTTTTAAAGCCACCAATGCACACATCTGCCCATCAAGATGGTGAGCAGATATCACACCTGTCACACGACATGACTCAGGACCGCCGGAAGGAGTTTTCGATTGGTCTGGTCGTACCAAAGTCTTTCCTACTTTGTGTATAATACGGGGGGGGGGGGGGGGGGGCATATACCCTCATCAGTAGCAAACATGCATTGGTAGCCACAAAGTTGGTTCGGTGATAACCTGACCAACCGGACCGGTGATAACCTGACCAACCAGACCGGTTCCGGCGGGCTTGCCTGTACCCGTAGAAGCCGCCGCATGACAATACAGTGCTACATGTACAACAGGCACTTACCAACTTGTCAGCCCAGTCACACAAACCTTCAGTCACTTTTCTTATTGCACTCTCTGGCTCCTGTGGACAAGAGAACAGCACAGACAACTACATGATGGCGCTAACCAGCTGTGCATGTAATGCCATAATAATGCACTTCAAGACGGTCGTTCACACACCAGCGACTTTCACTGGCAGAACCAAAACTGACACCTACACACACACACACGCACACACACACACGCACACACACGCACATAAACGATTGGTCACGCTGCTGATGAGACCTAAAAAAAGTCGAACAGATAGTTGTTCGGAGACTGAGTGTATATAGCTGTTACAGAGTTAAGACGCTGTTTCTTTCTTTCTTGGGATGATGGCGCGAGCGTAAGGACCACTACGCATACAGATAATAATACTTGAAGTACAATTTAGTAGGTTGAAGTGATGTAGATATGGAGGTGTGGTCCAGGGGAAATCACTGTTACGCAACCGTGTTCAACCTTATGCAACCATGTTCAAACGTGTTCAACCGTGTTCGGCCGTATTCAGCTGTGTTATGACACCCATTCTCATTTCAAGTCAAATGTCACCTATCCAACCATACTGACAGGATCAGGAGATTCACAACAGGGAGTCATAAACCTAGTACCTCCCGTCTTTGTGACAGCCTGACAGGTCACACCTTTTTATATGCAGAATGAGTTCTTCTACTTTCTTGTGCCACATTCAGCATGTCCTTTCCGCCTTTTGCTGTGACTATGCTGCTATATAACCTGTGCAGTGGCTTGAACAAAGTATTCTAAGTCTTCTGATCTGTTACACTGGTAGCACAGAGGATGGTTCTCTTCTACGCGGTCCTAGCACTCTGCAGAATTCTTTGTCCATGCTGCGAAAGAGATCAACAAGCTTTGTCAACTGCTTGAACGGAGAGAGCAGTCTACAGCAAGCCTTCCCGGCGCCATGTCAGCCGGCCCAGTCACCGGTGAAAAAAAAAAAAAAAAAAAACTAAGCGGACAGCCCTCACGATTTACAACAGGGCTGGGAGCTTGGTTTCCCACCTTTTTTCCCAAGCTGATGTGAACCCAGTGGCCACATCAGTGCAGGGCAAGCGAGCGGTAGCCGTCAGCGAGCGCAGTTTTAAATAACGTTGTGAACGCTATGAACGCTGTGAAGGCTGTGAACGCTGAACTTGCCCACCGCTTGGGTCACTGCGGCCTAAAAACCCGGCCGCAGGCGCTTGGCTCTGGGCGGCGCTGGCCTCTTGGTATCAGCGCCTCGCTCCGGGCACGGCTGCACCGCACGTCCGCCGCGCCCTTGGACTTTCTATATGAAGTAGGCGGTACGACAAGCTTGGGTCGACAGTAACGGCGCCAACCGCGCCTCCCTCCGGGCCGTTGTGGGTTGTCCATCCCACGGCCCTTGGACTTTCTTTCAGAGGTGGGCGGTACGACAAGCTTGGTTCATCATATAACGGCGCCAACCGCGCCTCCCTCCGGGCCGTTGTGGGTTGTCCATCCCACGGCCCTTGGACTATCTGATGATAGTAGGCGGTACGACAAGCTTGGTTCGCTCATAACGGCGCCAACCGCGCCTCCCTCCGGGCCGTTGTGGGTTGTCCATCCCACGGCCCTTGGACTATCTGAGGATAGAGGGCGGTACGACAAGCTTGGTTCGCTCATAACGGCGCCAACCGCGCCTCCCTCCGGGCCGTTAGGTCCGCTCGCCTCCGGCCCTTGAATTATCTGACGATAGTAGGCGGTACGACAAGCTTGGTTCGCTCATAACGGCGCCAACCGCGCCTCCCTCCGGGCCGTTAGGTCCGCCCGCCTCCGGCCCTTGGATTTTCGATCGAAGATCGGTTAGAACGACAAGCTTGGGTCGACAGTAACGGCGCCAACCGCGCCTCCCCCGGGCCGTTGTGGGTTGTTCATCCCACGGCCCTCTTATTCCCAGACTGTAGTTGTCTTAGCCGACAGGCTGGGGTGCCCACCACTTGGCCTTGCCCACCGCTTGGCCTGAGGTAGTCCTTCTGACCTTCGTTCTTAAAGGTCGCTGCCGCCGAGGTCGTTGCCGTCAGACCCTTCACCTTTGTCTCTTGGACCACTAAAGAGAGAATGAGCTTGGCTCGCTCGTAACGGCGCCAACCGCGCCTCCCCCGGGCCGTTAGGTCTACTCACCTCCGGCCCTCTTATTTCCAGACCCTAGTTGATTTAACCTAGGGGCTGGGGACGCTTGGCCCTATCCTGTTTCTTTCTGACCCTCGTTCTCAGTGGTCGCTGCCGGGGGAAACCCTTCAGCCTTAGAGGTCGCTGCCGGAGAAAGCAGTAAAAAGCACCCAAGCCTCCGCTAACCAGCTGGGCAAGCCCAATCCTGCTGCCACCCGCGATAGAAGCCTGAAGTAACCGGGGCCAGTAAACAGACCCTACTAGCGAACCACCAGCCCCTCAATAGGGACAGCCAAGGGAGCAAATAGAAGCCTAGCCCTCTCTGAACCCCCAAAAGAAGGCACCCGGAGTCAAAAAGGACAAAATAGATGCGGCCTACAAAGGTAGCAGCCAACAAGGGATGAAGCCGCCTGTACAGCCACTCAGAGAAGCCTGTGCCCTAGAAGCAGAGGCACAACCAAAGAGAAAAGAGCTAAGACCGCCGGAAGCAGTAAAAAGCACCCAAGCCTCTGCTAACTAGCTGGGAAAGCCCAATCCTGCTGCCCCCCAGAGAAAGATACAACTGGCTGTGGAAGACAAACAGGTGCTGCTCAGTGACAGTACGGCTAAGAGCAAAAGACATGAAAGGCCTGGGCAACTCTAAACCCCTGCCATTACTACCAGTAGAAAGCCCATTCCTGCTGCCCCCCAGAGAAGGTCAACTCTGAATCCCTGCCATTGCCACCAGTAGAAAGCCCCAAAGAGATGAAAGGCCTAGACACCAGGAGAAAGCCACAAGACGCTTTGCACCCAGCCAAAGGAAAAGCTGCCCCCTGCTAGCCATAGCCAAAGGCGTCAACAAGATTCCCAAACCCGCCGGAGAAAAGGAAAAGCTGCCCCCTGCTAGCCACAGCCAAAAAGCTCAGAGCTACCGGAGAAAACGAAAAACTGCACTAGCCACAACCAAAAGGTGCCATCACCTCACAAACAGCTCACAAGGCAGCCTATAAACCAAACAGGCATGAAGGTGTGATTTGCCCCACATAGCGCACCGGCCCCTGCTATAGAAAGCCAGGTCGGTGAACAAAAGCAAGGGAGTTCAGACGACCGGGTATGGCATCTACCTTAACACCACAAGTGGGTAAGGAAAGAGTGCAGAACGTCCGCACTAGTAACCAACCTGCGGCAGAGTACGCCAACAGGCAAATAGAGGAGCAGATACGCCAAGACGTCCAGCATACGTTAAGGCACCGCCAAGCTTCAGCGGCGACTCGGCACAGTTCAAGGACTGGGCATTTGCTATGGACCTGGCCATACGGTCACTGGATCTGCAGTCTGCCAGTGCTACGAAGGAGATCAACAAGTCTGCCAGTGATTACCGTTATGCCACAGGTTTCCTGGAGGGAAATGTCAGATTGTGGGTTATCTCCTCTCTGGAGGCAAATGTCCAGTTCAACGACTGGCCTGTGCTCTGATCGCCAATGTCTACGGTCCGCAACACGACAAGGAGCAAGTGCGCATGTCCTTGTCCAACGTTCAGCAGGCCGGTGATTTGGTGGAATACACCAGCCGATTCTCGCCCCTGAGTCTACAAGTCCCCGAACTCGACGAACGATCGAGGGGTGTGCTCTTCGTCAACGGTTTAGCGCCAGAGCTTTGCAGCAGGGTCCTTCGAGAGCATCCGGAGAACTTGTCACAAGCTAGAAGAGCAACAGAACCGGGGATCCGGAGCTCAGGATGACGGGAAGCCATATGGCTGTTGCTTGGAGGAGAACGCCAGCAGCCAGCCGACAAAGCGCACCAGCTCATCAACATCGCAATCAAGGCCAACATCAAGTCGGGTTCACGCAGGTGTCTGCGAAATAACGCGAGAAATGCTTTCAAGAGAGGTTGTGTTTACGATGCCAGAAATCCGGGACACATCACGAGGGAATGCAGCCAGTTACGTGGCAGCAGTGCACAGCCTTCCCTAAACGCTGGTTGTCAGTACAGCGAGGGGTGCGCCTACTGACAACAACGGCCACACCTGTCTCGTCGCATCTGGTTGTTCTCCGTAATCGGTTCAGTATCCTGGAACTCCAGGACACGGATAATGTCAGTCAAGTGCACCAAGAGGAGAATAGTATATCTGAGCCAGCAGTGGAGGCACTTCAACCGGCAAGGTGTGTGTGTGAAAGCTGGAAGCGGGTCTATTGCAATCTTCCGCGAGCATGACCTTCCTCATCTGGAGGGAAGGATCAATGGTCGTCGCGCAGTCATGTTAATTGATTCCGGCTCTACACATGACTTCATATCTGAGGCGTTAGACCAGAAGTACAGCCTCCCCACAGACAAGTCTGAAAACATGCTGAAAGTCAAGCTGGCTGATGGTTCAACCAGTTCCCGGCCAATGCAGACGTTGGGCTCGCTAAATGTGGTCGTCAAGGACTTTAGCGATGTGCAGGATTTCACTGTGTTCCCATTGTCCCGCTACGATGTCATCTTAGGAAAGCTATGGCTAACTCGACACAACCCTGAAGCGAACTATCGAACTAATGAAGTTACGTTGCGTTGGCTTGAACAAAGTATTCTACTTCAAGAAGTCTCCTGATCTCTTACAGTCTTTGCGTGTCGGATCTCACACGTGCTCAGAACACTAGCGAGCGGATAGGTGGCATTCGACTGTAACAGTTACTTGAAGTAGATTTCATAATACAGTAAAACCTGTAAAGACCACCGTGACTAGCGACCAGCCTGGTACTAGAGGCCACTTCGCCAGGCACGGAACGGTCTCACATTTATGTATGGCTGTGCGGTGCAAACCTCTAACTAAGGACCACCTGCCACTAAAGACCGCTTTCTCTGGCCCCAAGGGGTGGTCTTTAGTCACAGGTTTTACTGTACTGCCTTCATGGAATACCAACCGAAGGGTAAGCCATGCCTCATTCCCATACAACCGAAGGGTAAGCCATGCCTCATTCCCATACCAACCGAAGGGTAAGCCATGCCTCATTCCCATACCAACCGAAGGGTAAGCCATGCCTCATTCCCATAGAACCGAAGGGTAAGCCATGCCTCATTCCCATACAACCGAAGGGTAAGCCATGCCTCATTCCCATACAACCGAAGGGTAAGCCATGCCTCATTCCCATACAACCGAAGGGTAAGCCATGCCTCATTCCCATACAACCGAAGGGTAAGCCATGCCTCATTCCCATAGAACTGAAGGGTAAGCCATGCCTCATTCCCATAGAACCGAAGGGTAAGCCATGCCTCATTCCCATACAACCGAAGGGTAAGCCATGCCTCATTCCCATACAACCGAAGGGTAAGCCATGCCTCATTCCCATACCAACCGAAGGGTAAGCCATGCCTCATTCCCATACCAACCGAAGGGTAAGCCATGCCTCATTCCCATAGAACCGAAGGGTAAGCCATGCCTCATTCCCATACAACCGAAGGGTAAGCCATGCCTCATTCCCATACAACCGAAGGGTAAGCCATGCCTCATTCCCATACAACCGAAGGGTAAGCCATGCCTCATTCCCATACAACCGAAGGGTAAGCCATGCCTCATTCCCATAGAACCGAAGGGTAAGCCATGCCTCATTCCCATACAACCGAAGGGTAAGCCATGCCTCATTCCCATACAACCGAAGGGTAAGCCATGCCTCATTCCCATACAACCGAAGGGTAAGCCATGCCTCATTCCCATAGAACCGAAGGGTAAGCCATGCCTCATTCCCATAGAACCGAAGGGTAAGCCATGCCTCATTCCCATACAACCGAAGGGTAAGCCATGCCTCATTCCCATACAACCGAAGGGTAAGCCATGCCTCATTCCCATACCAACCGAAGGGTAAGCCATGCCTCATTCCCATAGCACACATTGCAGACTGGTACACATACTTCCTGTAGTTCATTAAAATTGTCGCTGTTTGCATCATATGTTGCTCATAGAACTGGGGAGGTACACACACACCTTTACATACACATCCACACACAGCGGCGGATCCAGAGTTCAGCTGAGGGGAGGGCGCGGGTAATATTCATGAAAGGGAACCTATGCGGCACCTGTATTTTGTACACATTACGACATAGCGGCTATTTTACGTCATAGGCTTAGCGGTTATGTAGAATTACTATTTTAGCACATGCACTCACTCCCACTTTTTCAACCACTTCATTGAGGACTCTGGCTGTAGTAGAACATAACGTTAGCAGCACTACATTGAATTGTGTAAAGATAGTGCTTCAAAGCTCAAGACCTGCTGAGATCGAGAACAATGGCAAAATAATAAAATATACGATTACTTGGATGGCCATGTCCAGCAGTAAGAATGGATGATGAGGTATTCACCTCGGGTTGATCCTTGTCGATGCAATGTAGGAAACGGGACGCACGGCGCACAAAAAACGCCTTCCTCGCCAGCCTTTCCGGAATAGGCAAGCCACTCAAACCACTTCAGTAGCAGCGAGCGAGTGGAAGTACCGGTCTTTCGGCGGCTGTCGGGATAATCCCTAGATATAGTAGATGGCAACACCGTCTGCTTATCAGGCTTCCGGTTCCCAAGTTAAGTATGTTGCGCTTTTCTGCATCGCTGAGAGTTGCACCGCCAATAGCTGCATCAACAGCATCCGAGTAACTTCGCTGCGTAGCAGTGCCACCAGCCACATTCGTGACAGTCACAACGTCGTCATCTGCGATAGTTTCAACAGGTAAACGCTCCTGACTCGCATCACTACTACTGACAGTCCCACCATCGTCGTCAGAATCTACTTCGGATTCCATTTGGGGAAGATCAGAGTCTGAGCAGACCTCGATCTCAGGATCTTCGGGGTGGTCCGAATTCTCCTCCAAAGACGGATCGCTCGACTGAGCAGCTGACGAAGCGCAAGTTCGCTTTGCGAAAAATCCGTGGAGAGTTTGTAGGCTCCCTAGCCGCTTGGGCGGGCGGTGCGCCATCCCCTTCACCGACTTAGCTGTACAAGTTCGTCAACTGAACACTAATTTCAAAACTAAAAGTCAACCAAAGTCTAAGAGAACAACTACTCCGTGTTCAGAAGAACTTTCTTATCTGACACTAGAAACTACTTGTCACAGCATGTGCAAACACTTGCGCAACTGCCCATGTGCATGCACTAAAAAAAATCGAACTGTTTGAGGGGAGGGCGCGCGTCCACCGCGCCCTCCCCTAGATCCGCCACTGACACACATCCACACACACGCAGACACACACACACACACACACACACACACACACACACACACACACACATGCACACACACACACACCTTTACACACACATCCACACACACACACACACACACACGCAGACACACACACACACACACACACACACACACACACACACACACACACGCAGACACACACACACACACACAACAATTAACATGAGTACTAAAAAAAGTTAGGCACTCTGAAGTGGGTGATTGTCAAAGCTGTCAAGCAAGCAACAATTGCAGTATTGCCTACCTCAAAAATCTCAAGCATGGCATCTTTCTGGCTTGGGTGATATACTGTGCTCTGGTTTGCTCGTTGCTGGGAAGATCGGTTGATGCGAGGTAGAGTACCGGGTGATGGAGATCGATAACTTGGCAAGGTAGCGCTGTATGTCCAACATAATGCACACCACATAATGATGATTCTAGGAATCCACAATTACAGGTTTTCAGCATTTGCTACCGCTATGTACGTTTGATTGGTGTTTACAACCAATGTGTCTCTACACAATACAAATCTGATCATGTAATATCAGCCTGCTGTAAACAAGCAGTATGTACTACTGACTACTGAGTCCACAGTGCTCAATGCCTGCAGACAGAGCTTGGGGGAGCACGCCAGATGCATGGGATGACTATTTTCAGGCATTAATTAAAAGGGGAAGTTCACCCTAAAATGAAAACTTCACAACTGGTAGCGGAAATGCACTGATTCCAATGGTGAAGGTCCCAGTTTGATCGGAGCAGCCTTTTCCGAGTTGAAACAGCTTGAAGTTTTCACTAAATTTGGTGAAATCATGATGACGTCAGTAACTTGCCCATAATAGGCCATCTCTGTGACATCAGAGAGATAGACTTTGTATGGGAGTACTTAGATGGGGAATAACCAATTTCTTTCACAAACTTATTGCTAGAGAAATTTCCAGTCATGACACTGGTAGCGTGCCATATGTCCCATAACGAAGTTTGAAAAACACCGACTTCTTTGGGATGTTGGAGAGCCAAAAAGCTGCTATTTAGCCTTTCTGTGTGCAGTACAAATTGTATTTGGAACACGTGATGTGAGTTTTTTCGCCATTGGAGACCATGTCACATGATGCAGAGTTGCACACTCTTTTTGGGAGCTCATTTACTCTTCTCATTACTTTACAAACCAACCTCTTCTTTATCACTGGGGATTCTGTTTACCGTATTTTTCGGAGTATAGTGCGCACCTCTGTATAACGCGTACCCCCAATCTTCATTGGCGGTGCGCACTTCAATCTGCATTGAAGTACATGCATTTCATATTCGGAGCATAGTGCGCACCTGCGATTTAGGGCCTAAAATAGCACATCTAAAGTGCGCACTATACTCCGGAAAATACGGTATTGTACAAAAAGGCTTCATAGCATGTACTCGTACACGATAGAATTTATTCTTACATCTGAGACATTATTATGATATGAAAAAGCCTACCTTGGAAGACCAGTGCTAATATGGTCACTTGGTATCACACCAGTTGGTGCCTTACTCCCTCTGTGGAGTCTGGCACTACTGCGCTTGGCACTCGGTGTTGATTGTGAGCGAGTATGATGCCCTTCTGGCAGATCAGAGCTCGTGCCACCCACTCGGTCACCTTCCAATACTCTTATCAACTTCTCCTTCTATCATGTGCAAACCATCATATAAACACATGTGCAAACATCCACGGCACACACACGCACACACACACACACACACACACACACACATACACACACACACACACACACACACACATACACACACACACACACACACACAAATCACCTTATTCCCCTCGGTGGATTAACTATACGTGTACGGGGCGCTGTTTGTCTCATGTTTTGTCGCTTCCTGTACTGTTCATTCCAGTACTACACATCTCGTCACTACTGGCCTCCACCCAGACCCGTTGCATAGATGTCACTACTGGCCTCCACCCAGACCCGTTGCATAGATGTCACTACTGGCCTCCACCCAGACCCGTTGCATAGATGTCACTACTGGCCTCCACCCAGACCCGTTGCATAGATGTCACTACTGGCCTCCACCCAGACCCGTTGCATAGATGTCACTACTGGCCTCCACCCAGACCCGTTGCATAGATGTCACTACTGGCCTCCACCCAGACCCGTTGCATAGATGTCACTACTGGCCTCCACCCAGACCCGTTGCATAGATGTCACTACTGGCCTCCACCCAGACCTGTTGCATAGATGTCACTACTGGCCTCCACCCAGACCCGTTGCATAGATGTCACTACTGGCCTCCACCCAGACCCGTTGCATAGATGTCACTACTGGCCTCCACCCAGACCCGTTGCATAGATGTCACTACTGGCCTCCACCCAGACCCGTTGCATAGATCATCATCCAATGCTACTGTTAGCTACTTTAATCTCCTTCGTTAAATGTTGGGGGGGGGGGGAGAAATTTAGCCCCGCATTTGACGCTGAAAATCAATCAGTGCATGGCAAACCTCCAACCAGGTAGTGGTAATATTTACTACTTCCTGCTTACAACTAATGATGAGCTTAGCCCTGGATGCAGCTTTCTCCAAAATTATCACACTCTCCATCGAACTTTCAAAGTCAGATTTCTGGACCCTTTTTCTCTTCGTCGTGTTCGATAGTGCAGCAAGGCATCCTTGATCAAACGTACCCCATCTTCCCACAAACACCGCAAACTCCACTTCAACGTTACTGTCACTGTTATGCTGCTGTACCGTAGCCACTTGAAACACATGAAAGAATCTTCCTTGCTTTTCCACAACCTCCAATGCGAACACTCAACCGTCAGAACTTCATGTACCGGTACATGTACTTTTTCAAGTACATTATACAAAACAAAGCGAACAAACTGCTACGCCTGATGTGTGTTTTCAATGGACTGTGCTGCTACTTCTACCCATGGCGTGTTTGTAGGACTCTTTGCTTCTAACAAAACACGTGGAGTGCGATACAAATCATGTGCTGAGTCTGCTGAGGTCTGACGTAATGCTACACAATGGTAGGTACGAAGCGGAGGTGCAACTGACTAGAAGTTTCATTGCAAAATGGCCAATCATCAGACAAATTACTCAACTGCACTAGTACAATACCTACTACTTCCTGGCTGAACAACACGGTTTGCTACAGTGCGCGATGTGCAGAGGTGCACATGTGATCAGCGCTCCGCGTAAAACGGTCTCTCTCGAACCAGCTGCGGACCAGTGTCCACGATCGAAATTTGTGAGGGGGGGGGGGGGTGTCTTTGGCACCCAAAGCACCCCCCCCCCCCTGCCTACGCCCCTGCAACTTGAGTACTTCAAGTAGTCATTATCAAAGTTGCTGACCTACACTACAGTATCAGGCTAGATGGTAGCACTGACATGTAGCTGTAGGTATCAATGTGAAGTGAAGTACATGAGTCGTCCTACCAATCGGTTCTAGTTTCATGCAGCACAGCTTCACGGTCTCTGTGTATTCTGATGAACCTAGTATTGAAAGGCTGAAAGGCATGACTGGCAAGAGAAGAGAAAGAATGCGAAAATGACTCACTTACCATCTCTGGCGTCAGATTGATATCAATATTTTGCCATGCGATTGGTTGACGCTGTGCTATAACCTTGTCTTCATGGTGCTGTGCTCGTTGCAATCCACGTGCTCTGCTTGGAAGCACTTTACTAAAGGCAAAGACACCAAAAAAGACAAGTTACCCTAATTTAGGCTGACTGTTGTAGTGGTTAATTCCTTGTGCTGATGTAGTAGAAGTACTTGTACGTACCTAGTATTCCGACTTTGTGCCGGCCACTTCCATGGAAGGTAAGCTGGTCAGCTGAGCGGCCAAAGTCAAAAAGAACGATCCGAGCAAGCACCAACAACTTGTCCAGTGTCGCACACACACGTGCGTGCATGCGTGAGAGAGAGAGAGAGACAGTGTATGTGTGAGTGTGTGTGCCTGTGTGTCTGTGCATGTGTGGGTGAGCATGTATTGTGTTGGTCAAATCTGAGTCAGTTGGTCACTTTGTGCATGACCAAACCTTAGAACAATAAGGGACTGATTGACTATGTTGGCTATAACAGGTAATTATTTAGTCCATACTTATAGGTGAGTGTGTAGCAGGGAGGTCCGTATGGCTTGTTAGTGCCTGTCTGGTTAGCCTCAGCGCCGTAGGCCTGAGGGCTAACATGGAGGGTGCAACCAAACCATACGCCCTGACTTGCCATGATTTCACTCTTTTAGAACGAGGTTATTATTTCCCTCGCATAGAAGCTGACCAAGCAGATATCTTTTTCAAACAAGGTTAGGATAATCTTTACCAATTTGAGTTGAGTTGTAACAAGTAGAACACATTTTCTTGTACATGTACAGTCAATTTTGAGTATAACGACACTCGGCGGCGGGGCATCAGAAAAGTGTCCTTATTCGCGAAGTGTCCTTATACCCGAAGTCTCATTATATCATTATATGTATTACAGTTAGATGGGACTTTGCTCTATGGAAATTCTGTCGTTATTCGCGAATTGTGGTTATATCCGTAGTTGTTATTAGCGGAGTTGACTGTATACCGTTATCTGTGCATGTATATTGTGTAGTATTGTTGTTTTCATACGTGGGGAAATATTCGAGCAAATGAAATGCAGCACTCTTGTTGTGAACTTGTTTTTTATTGATAGCTTATGAATCGAGCTATTTAGGGGCCTTGAATTTCCCCTTTTATTACGTATAGTGAGCTCGATCTTGGGTTGTTTTTATAGGATTCAGCCAGCTGAGGACAAAGGGAAATCGTACATCGAAAGCTTACGGGAGCCAATTACTGTACACATTGTTCAAATGCGTAGCTTTTGGTTGTACACTGTACAGCTTTTGCAGAGTTCACTTCAGGATCTACAAGTACACTGTACTATATTGTAGCATACACATACTTGTGCGCACATGTTCAGAGAAAATTCAGTGGGCTTTAAACTAATACAAGGCCCTGAACGCGTCATCAAAGAGGAGTAAAATACTATTGAGCGGTCTCTAAACTCTGCTAAGGCCCTTGCCGGGAACGTCGCAATCGGCCGTCTCCTAGACAGCAAGACAGACCTCGTTCTAAACACTGATAGTGAACTATCTGTGATTTGTCCAATAGGCTCACACATGCATGTAATTCTTCTAACATGAAAGTTAGTCTTATGAGTGATCTTTAATCGCAATGAGGATCCTCAATCAGGAACTTCACAATTAGGATCTCCTGCGTGTTTCCTCTGCCTTTGCAAAACTTACTCATTCGGAAGTTTGCTTGGTGCCCCTGACAATGGATATCCGTGTGGCACTGTTCTATTATCTTGTGACATTCTCCTATGCCGTGATTCAATTTGCTCAGCGTGTCGAGCTGTGTCCATGCCAGACACTCTTGCTGCTGGATTTGCCGCTGACACGTGACGCTGGTTAGCTTTGGCACTTTGCACAGGTTTATCCTGACGATGTTTCTGTTGTTGCAGCTGCTGACGTTGTCCCAGTGATGTTTGAGATGAAGATGAAGATAGGAGGACAGGACCCATTTCTTTCTTTTTCTGCAGATTGGACAGGAAGAACCTTGAATAGAACATAAATTCTCTTTGCAAGGAAGTTGGTACCCCCACATTCCTTACAAAATTATCGCAGAGGTCGCTACCACTATTTCATTCTCTGCACTTGTGTGTGTGTGTGTGGGTGTGTGTGCGCGTGCACGCGTTTCATGGCTGGTAACCTAATCGGCGTAGCAGTGTTTTAATTTCCCAGCCGTGCATCCGTCTTCTGCAACACTGGCACCTGTTACTGACACGAACGCACAACCCACCGTAACCCTTTTCAAGTAGGTATGGTCTGAGAACTTAGGCTATTGGGGAGGGAAACAGTGTGGTAAGAGGACCACTGGTATTTGGCATCCGTGTTGGCCTAATCAGTACAGTATTGCCCGACAAAGAGAGGGGTGATGTGTTTGAGTCACGCCTGTGAATATCTTCTTTTGCACCAAATGTCACCAGTGCTGGCTATTCCTACGCTAGAACAAGACTACTACATGCCTGCACCTTGTAAAGCAGTTTGAGTTTAGGATGAGGATGAGGGTGATGATCAGGTCTGAAGTCATCTATCGTGTCATTGACAAACGTCCACTGCTTTGCGTCCATAGCTGGTTGCGAGTCAAGATATTTTGTTCTGAGACGTTCTCTATACCTGTAGGAAAAGGAAATCAAAGACGAAGGAGGGCAAAGGCGAAGGAGAGCATAGGTGTAAGGAATTAAAGAGGCCACCATACATGAAACTATAGCACACTACCTAGAATGATGTATATTTTGCAGAGGATAGCGGCATCCAGCTTTCAACTCCAAACAGTAGCTTGAGTTTGTCGAGGACCACATTCCTGCAAAGCAATGTAAAACCTTGCCATTTCGGCCACTGGCTGCAATGCAGCCATCCCTACAATCTTATCAGAATCCAAATGGCCGGACAGTTGCTCGAAAGGCATGAGAGCTACTTTCGCATCAGCTTTTTAATCTCCTAACTAGTTAATACTAGGGCTGAGTCGGGTAGCATTTTCTTCGGGTTTCGGGTCCGGGTAGTTTTCCACGGGTAGCACGGGTACCCGATCGGGTAATGTTTCCATGGTAAGACCACAATGCACACCGGCCCCTTCCCTTACAAACTGGGTAGACATGCGTGAGTTATGTGTACACATGCACTGTAGACTTCTCTCTCTCTCTTTCTACATGATGTCATCTGTGACTTCGGGTTTTCGGGTAAGATTCAGTACCCGTCTACCCGAGGTCCTCACGGGTAGCACGGGTACCCGACTACCCGTGCACACCACTAGTTAATACGGACAAGAGCTGATTTCACAAGGACTCTGATGTCCCTACATCGGTGAACCAAACATTCCTTGATCCAAACATGCAAATCCTGGCACTTGGCCCTGGACATGGAGACTAAGAGTACACTGTACCATGAAACTCCCTCTGCAGCTCACCTCAAAGAGTGAAGTCACGTCCCCTTAGACGTAAGTAAATAAATACATGTATTTACTTAGAGACGTCTAACAGGCGTTTCTGGTGGGTGGGTTCGCCTGCAATGCGTTTCAAAAAAATACATTTCGGAGTGCATGCATACCATACAGCGCGTGTACATGTACATGATGTGGCACTGCTAAAGCTAGTACAGGTAGGCGTTGAGATGCACTACACTGCACGCGTCACGGCGGAGTAGACAGGGACACATACTATCAATGATATACTCCGTACTCCCAGAAACGACTTGTAGGTGTGATTTGGTTCGTTATAAACGAAAACTGTACGCAATAAAGGGTCAATTTCGTATTGGTTCAAACAGGGACCTGGACAAGTGTTCGCTATATCACGAAATTCGCTATATGCAAGTTCATAATACATGTACGTGCAGTCGACTGTACTGTGTATGCATGGTGTGTATGCACGGTGTGCATAGAATGCTGTTTATTATGAGTGGTATTAGAGAGGTTCCGCATAACGTAATTACGTTAGTAAAAAACGTAGTCGATCTACGGAAAGTCTTACGTAAACTGCATGCGAATCTGCGTTCCGCCATACGGAGTTTTCAAATCACGTAGCTGCCCTTGGCAACTCCGAACGCGGCAGTGTACGACCAGATCGACGTGGGGAGAGAGTCATAAATTTGTACCCCAATCCACTTACGGACCAGCTACGTTATCAGAGCCCTATCTACGTACTCTACGTAGACAACTTTCCGTAAGTAGAGTGCAAACTCGCGAATTCACGGGTTTTCCCCGCCCACTAACGTAAAGTTGCTCAACTTTACGTAGTGCGGAACCTCTCTAATATCTTCATTGGGGGGGGGGGGGGGGGCGTTTATGGGGGTGGGTGGGTGGGTCAAGAAAGAAACACCTGTTAGACGTCCAAGTCTAAGTAAATACATGTATTTACGGACGGCCCCTTACCTGACGAAAACTCATTCACTTCCCAAGAGGGTTTTCCCCTAAGCTCCCAGTGGAAACTCTGCATATGCGCATGGTCATGCCCTCAGGCTCAAAGTGCGAATATGGCAAAAAGACTAAAGAATAGTTGAACCCTCAACAATTAATAGTCAACAGTGTAAAACTGAGACAGGTAGATTTTCGCTTGAGAACAACTTGTATTGATAACTCAATAGGATAAATTTGTGTCTATTTACTGGGTATAACATATGGATACAGGGAATTTTCTAGAACCGCCCCAACCGGTTTTCGACCGGTTGAAAAGTTACAAATCAGTTCCAACCGCCCGTACTTTTCTGTGGGTGAATGGAGCTGTGAATGGTCAAACGCTTTTTTCTGGACGGATACTTCCAGCGAAGCCGCGTGGGCTGGTACTAGGGTCACGAGTTTGTACGGTTTGCACCAAGAAATCTGTAAAATTGCTGTCGAGTGCCATATTTGGGTTGTATTTTGAAAATTTTTACGGGGGGGCCCCGGACTCTTCATTGGACCGTAACCGGTTGGAAATTCGTCCTAGAATATACCCTGGCCTGGATCATAGGAAGAACTCCCGTTATTGCAAACAAATACCATCGGTCTTTTGGTATTCAGCCTAAAGAGGTTTGACTACTCAATTCCATACCATGGGTGCTGGGACTTTTTCTGGCCTTCTCCTTTTAGCGTGTCGACCAAGAACAGGTCGTACTTGTCAGCCATTCTTTCTGCCGCAGTGCTGGTGCACTCCAAACAGCTGTAGGCAGGATTTCAGATCTGTTGATTTGAACTATCTTCGCTGGCGGATAGTGTACATTAGAGCAGTAAATACTATGGAGTTTTCTCCTCGTCTCTGGTGACCTGGTGACCTCGCGTTAGATCCCAATGCTGTGCTGTTGATCTGCTGAACACGCGAGTAGATCTACTCTGGTATCACTCATATCCAGGCGAATCGGTATGTCGGTGACATAGCTCTGGGCTACAAATAAGACCAGAGAAAAGCATATAGGCTAAATCCCCGTAGATCTACGGCCGTGCAGGCACATAGAATATGAAGACTGGGCGCGAAGCTGGCAAGATGATGGTGAAGGTGACCTATCGAGTAGACCTACTGGTACTAGATCCACGAGTATAGACACTAAAGTAAAGGACGCTAAAAGTCCAAGGACGTGCAAGCAATCTTTGAAAGATAAATTCAGTAACTGCTGCAGAACTGCAAGTGCTAGCGATACTAGAATATACTAGCGCCTGCCGTCTGCAAGCATAATCAGCTGATTTTTCGAACTTTTGATGTCACTTCGCAGCTGCCTGAGCTGTATGCATCAAACTCCAACAAGTAGTTGCAAGTCCAATCTTCGCTTGGTAACCAGGTACTGGTTGCTGGGTAACTGTTGTGTGTGTGTGCGAGGCGGGGGGGGGGGGGGGGGCAGCATACTCTGTCTGTACTCTCTAGACTGACTAGTGATAGTACTTAGTAATAGTAGTGTAGGCTGTAGCGTAGACTAGTGTGGCTACTCACTAGTACTACTAGTCACTACTAGTACTAGTACTAGTAGTAGTAGATCTACTACTAGTACTAGTCTAGTACTAGTACTGACACTAGTCTACAGAGTATGCTGCCCCCCCCCCCCCCCCCCGCCTCGCACACACACACAACAGTTACCCAGCAACCAGTAGCAGTAGCAGCAACCGGCAGTAACCTGGTTACCAAGCGAAGATTGGACTTGGAGTTGGACTTGTTGGAGTTTGACTTTGACTAGTTTGAGGCAAGCATAGTGCATACAGCTCAGGCAGCTGCGAAGTGACATCAAAAGTTCGAAAAAATTAATCAGCCTTGAACTTTGAATGGGCACACATCCGATCCGCGCCAAGTATTACAGTTCTTCTTGACTTCAGTGACTTCACTGCACTCAGTCAGAGTCAGAGCTCTAGACTCGGGCGGAGGGAGGGGGGGGGGGTCCTGCAATTATTAAATAATTGCAATTTTAGTTACATTCTGCAGTGCAGAGATGGTATGGCTATGCCTATGCTAGTAATGCTACCATGGTCTACGTGACATCATGGACATGGTCATGGGGGCACGAGCGCTAGCGGTGGTGCACTCCGGATGTTGGACAATCCTGTAGTTCGCGACGCAGACGAGACCTCATCATGACCTGCTGCACTGCCGAACTCGTGAAGGCTGGATGGTGTCGTGGAGTTTTCCAGTAGATCTACAGGACAAGCGGACGACTAGCGATTGCTGCTGGAATATGTAGATCGACGACACTCGTCTGAGCACGTGTGCTGAAGCAAACTAAATAAATTACTTGTCGCGATAGCACTGCTCTAGGCTAACTCTAGCTCTGGCACTGGCAGCAACGCATGGCAGACAGTCAAACATGTCTGTTCCTGAAACGTTCGTTACTTGCACTTCGATTTCGGTGCAGACTGCAGTCCTAGCGGCCTGCATGATCATAGCGAGCGTCGGCTGCTTGCCCAATGCTAAACGGTCCGGAAGTAAGACTACTTCCGCATGTCTGCAAGCTCTAGCCATGACGTAAAGTTCATGACCTCTGCCATGATTGGACAACGCAGGCAGAATTCAAAGAAGTAGCATGCAGCTGCTTGAAGCGTGGAGTGGTGCTGCTGCAAGCAAAACTGTTATTTCAGTCGTTTACTTCAGCTAGTTTGGGCGGTTGAGCTTCTTCTTCCTCCCCACGTGCTTTTTCTTTCCTTTCAAAAATCATTTGGTTATCAATGATAAGCGTCTGTCCTGCTTTTGCCAGGGAGCTCATAGTCATAGTGAAGGAAAGAATATTATACTTCAGACGGAGTATGTAGCGGAGGCGTTTCATGTGTAGGAAATATCCGCGCGCTACACATTCAGACATAGCGGTTATTTTGCAGTCACCGTCCCTTGCTCCTTCGGAGAAGAAGCGGTCTGTAAGAACATCACCAAACCAGGCAAGTCATTGTCGGATATGTGTTGTACTTTCACTAACCTGCAAGTACCATGATACTAATGTGTGTGTATTACCTTGTAGACTAGGAGTGGCTGCTGCTGCTACAGTGTGTAGAACACCGTGTTTTCTCTGTTGCTGTTTTGGTTGTCCTCTTCGACCACGTCCAGGACCGCTACTCTTGTACCGGGTAGGAGGCAAGATGGATGTGGCCTCTTCGCCATGACGAACCAGAAGCAACGTTGGGGCCAAGATCGGACGACTGTCTGCCATGGTCTACGGGGGCATTCTTCTTACCTTGAACATGTTTCGTTTTCATGGGTAAGGTTGATGAAGAGTAGACTTGGAGTTGCGTTGTGTGTTGTTGTTTTGTTGGCTTTGTTTAGAGTGGAATTCCGAAGTGTGTAAAGCCAACATCCTAATTCATGTATGAGTATGAATTGCATTCTGCCCGCTCGAAGCTGTTCCGTTGGCCTTTGCCGGCCATTGCATACATCCTCTTCATTGTTCATGGTCATCAGATTTTCACTGTTGTTTCCGTGTCTATATTTTGAACGATCACGCCAGAGTCTAATTCATGTGACCTTTGTACTTTGAACCCTGGCCTGAGCCGCTGCGCGGTGCTGCATGCACAGTAGTCTACTAAGAGTCTAATTCTACATGTAGGAAATCTTGATTAGCTAGTTGTGGTATCAATGCTAGGGAGTTACTAGTAGGTAGATCTACTCGGTAGGTAGAATAATGCGAGATCTACATGGGTGTAACATGGCTGTTCTCTGATGATGGCGGTAGAGCAACAGTAGTCTACGAGTAATGCGCCGCTTCCGAATATTCCAAATTGTTACCTAATATTCAGTTTTCCTACGCAAGCAATGAGTTGTTTTTTCTTTGTTCTTTTCCTTTCTGGTTCATGCAGTGAAGGACGCGACTGTTTCCAGAAGTTTCACGCGCCCACGTTCCGCTAGGATTATTCACAAGGTTCGTCACTCTTCGAAGCTCGAAATTATGTCGGGAAAGGGAAGAATAGTCTCGTCAGAGACAAGAATGCGACAAATCTAAGAAGAGGGACACACGCTAAGAACATACTTCAGGCTCTTGAACAACACCTTGAAAGTTTTCACTAGCATACTTTCAAAGGGAAGAATGCGAGGGAATAGCACAGTGACATGATCTACCCGACACAGGCTTCCTCTTTGTGTTCAGCTGTAACGTTGTCTCCGCAATACCAGTGTCAAAGGGAGATAGTTACAAGGACCAGGGTAGGTCGTTTTAGCTTGTTTGGTTTCCTATTTGAAGTGCAATATGATCTGTACCTTTGTTGGAAGTGACTGTCTTGGCTTCTAGTCGGTGCAAGTGATAGGTATTCTAGAATTCTTCGCTCAGCCATTCTTTGATGGCAATTGATAGCTTTGACAACGTCGGCAGCTGAAGTTTAGTGAATCGTTCTTGTTCAAGGTTGTCTAAGGCAGCAGTGCGGTTTTGGTCAACTGCCGATAAACACACGATGGAATGCGCAACAAAAGTTATAAACATTGCCTTGCTATCCTGAAGCTACTGTGGACGTCTAGATAGGTTTGAGTTTATGATTTCAGTTTTTAGTATGATTTGATGACCTAACCTTCTAACATGCTAACTACCTCACTAATACTAACCAAAGTACAGTACGGAAGGATGGCAATGCACTGTTGTTACGAAAATTTCTCCGCTTTGGCTGTGCAACGTCTCCGCAAGGCTATGCTCTAAGAGACTTTCAAATTGCTTTTGAAGCAGTATTACATTGTCCTTAGTCTATTCGCCCACTCGCAGACCAACTATTGCTTATCACTTGCAGAGACTATATTTCCTGTGTGTGGTGTGTGGTGAGCATTGGGCAGTTGAGTTCTCTTCCAGGATTCTTAAGATTTTACGTTCTCTCTGATCCTTAATTGATGTTGTGTCTGTGTATTTTGCGGAGGGACATGTCGGATGTTGACGATTTAGACGGAAGGAGGTGTTGGACAGCACGGAAGTCATCAAGCCCTGGCGACAGCGAGTGCCTTGTTGCTAAGTATTCATAGTACTGTCTGCTATATCAAACCTAGTCACTGCCAGATAGGAGTTGTTCAGCCAAGTTTCACTTCATGTTTTTCACCTTGGGCAAAGATTGAGGCAGATTAATCGGAGGATATGAGGATATGATGTATGTTAACAAAGGTCAAATGACCCAAGTTCTTGGTTTCACGCCTTGGCCAAATTTCGATTTTGAATCTGACACTGGGCCCAAATACCACACCGAAAGAAATTAAATACTAAGAGAACTTGGAGTTCATGGAAATCGTGAAGCAAACCTTGAACACTGTATGGTGCAGTCAGATGTTGCTGGATAAGACCCGTTTTTCCTGTGTTCAGAACTAGAATCATAGCAGATTGAAACAACAGAATCAATATTATAGTTTTCAAGGGTGATCAATTAGTGTTAATATGTAACACTGTACCTCATGCACTTAGGGGTCGTCGCAAAAGTTTTTTGTCGTCCCTGAAACGAACATGATTCATTTGGGGGGCAGGGGGTGCGAGCCAAAATCGCAAGTCGACCGACCCTGTACGTATGACATGTACATGATGCGATTTTCGTCGTCCAGCATAGCAAGCTGTGTTCGTTTCAGAGGGAGGGGAGGGGTCCGAGTACGAAATGAACGATGTTCGTTTCAAGGACGACAGAAAACTTTTGCGACGACCCCTTATGTTAGGACTTTACAGGAAGGAAACTCCACTACACACACATATGCACGTGCACACATACACACACACACACACACACACACACACACACACACACACACACACACACACACACATACATGCACACAAACACATGCACACATACAGCATTTTGTGTTCTTTGGCGTGTGTGCATGTGTGTGTACATGCATGCTTTCTGCTCCCTCACCTTCCAGGTTGTTTCACCTCGCATTGATTGAGAAGAAAAGGAAGTGAACGGTGTGGTTTCAACTGCTTGGTAGCAATCCAGTATTGCAACCAAGTAGCTGTTAAAATAGGAATGACAGGTGTTCCGTTCCATCCCGTAAAACCTATCGGGAAAGGGGAGGGGTAGGGCGGAAAAGGCAGACTGCTGGCGACTCCATGTTTCCTTATGATCTCAAAAGGAGATCATAATGCGGAAAATTTGAAAAATACATTCATATGAAACTGTACAGGCTCAAAGCTACAGATGGTAGGGGTGTTGGACGCACTATGGTCACTACGATATTTACTGTATTACATTTCATTTTTGGCACCCGTTAT